TCTACAACAAATTAGTAGCACTTGTATTTATTACTGATAAAATGAAGACTCTGTTTTTAATCCAAAGTAAAATTACTCTCCATAATTTATAAACTAAAAAACTGTCACATAATGAAACGGTTTTTACTAAGTCAAGGGACATAACTCTACAAATACTGGATAAATCCACAAGCGAAACCCCAGGTGCACAACTACATATACTGAGCAACCTTCCCGTAAGGTTTCATGACTCAAGGTCAAAATCCTTCTCCGATTCTTCTACACTATGTTAACAATTTTACACCAAACTGTTCCACTGATGAAATTCTTTGAATGAAAAATTTTTATTTACAGAGACAAGAGTTGTCCCCCTCAACCTTTTCAACAAAAATATAGATTTTCTAAGCTTACAAATAATTATGCTGACTGGAATTTTTTAACTTTTTGAGAAAGTTCATCAATTAAGATTCAAAATTTTAAGGCACAAGTATGCACAAATATGTGCAATCTTTAAAAAAAAATAGTGTGAATCCTGCAATTGTGTGTCCTAGAGTAAACTCTTGAGAATCTCTTGCTCTGGGCAACAAATTATTGTATGCTACTTCTAGAACTTGACTTTTGGCTACGTGCTTAATTTTGCCTGAAAACTCAAAATAAACTGTACTTGTTATGTTGTCAGGTGAGCTAAACAGCAAATACCTTTCTAAAGGACGCTCCCTTGAATAAGCCCAAGATCGCCTTGCAATTAATCTTTTTTTTTTGCACATCTCTGACCTATATATGTACTCACACAGGGCTCTCATTTCATGATATATGTGGCCAAAATTCACAGTCTCCAGTAAAATATATATTGTCCCTATTTTTCAAAAAAAATGTTCCTGAATTAAAAAAAGAAATCTTTCAGTAATTTTATCTGCCTAAAGCAGAAGAGTCCCTAAACAATATAATAAAATTGGCATTGAAATAGAAGGGGTTTTTGTCACAAACACATAAGTTTCCCATATATGTACTCCAAGGATGGAACAGAGGCATATAAATCCCAAAAGTAGTTTGACAGTACTTAACAAATTTAAACAGACAGAGTGACAGGAACAGCCATTATTTTCATAAAGCCTTCGGCTTTCGCATGTATACATAGCATTCCTTCCTGGACGTATCGATTAAATCGCACTTTAAAAAAGAATCAAATCTCCCGCGTAATGAGGTATTCCCCATCGCACATGCGCAGTACACCATACAATACCGGAAGTAAACCCCGGAAATTTCATATCTTTTCTGGCGTTCGATGGTACACACGTGTGGGTTATATTCACCCTATCTTACGGGTTATACCTTTTTATTTTTGGTAGGTAAAGTATACCTTGTTATTTGTTTTTGTCATGGATGATGTTTTATCCGCTATGCCTTCTTCGGAAGAGGGTTTTTCTGGACTTTCTGAGTCTGACATGCCTAAAACTTCTAAACCTCCTCGGCGGTCAAAAAATGTAACAAAGTCTAAAAAACCCAAAGGTAAGGCCTTAAAGTCCACAGTTCATGTGGTAAATAAGAGTGTTGGCCAAATCTCTTCGGAGAAGTCTTCGGACAGGCCATTATTAGATGTTTCGAAGTTGTCAGCCGCTGACATTGCATCTCTTAGGAGTTTGCTTGGCATACAACAGGTGGATTCGAATCCTGTTGATAATGATGATGAGGTTTATTTTGCCGAAAAAGATTCGTCTGTTAGGCCTAATATTACTGTTCAGGTTGATGCAGATAATGTATCTGACAATGAATATAGGCTAATCAATGAAATGATTAGGGTAGACATAATTGCAACAGAATTTCTGTTGACACTGTACGAAAGCAGGTACTGTAATAAGTACTTTAAAGAAAATCCCAAAAAATCCGATAAGCAATAAATGTGTAAATGCATTTTAAATAATGTTAATTTTTAACAATTTAACAATGGCCCATAAAATACACCATACACGAAATACTTCGAATGACGTAGAGAAATATGACGTCACAAGTAAAACTATCATGGCGGTAAATGGTAAATATCGCGGGGTGAATTTGTGATTTACGTCTTTATCGCTGAATATAGAAGAACAAGTGTATCATCAGGTATGTTAACATTTTGCTGGCATATTATTTAATATTTAAAATCATTAACAAAATATTTCTAAGTTGTTTTATAAACACCGGATGGTCTTTTTGTTATTTCAATTTACAGGTACATTTTAAAGTAAACAAAATGAAATTTGTTACAGGTTACTTATAAATAAATTTCATTGTACCATAAGAACGTTATAGACACAACCGTAATCACAAAAATGATTTAAAAAATTATTTAGGTAGAAGTCTTGGATGCATTATGTTTGATATAAAAATCTACGGAAGCAAATTCGGGACATCAAATCAATTATTTGTCGTTAAAATCATCTTATATTTCTCGTCAAAATTGGTCAATTACATAAAAAATATGCAAGTAGAATGTCTAACAATCAATATTGTTTCAGATAATAGATGAAAGATTGTGTTCCCTTTTGTTAAATGGATTCAAAAGATGTTTAAGCTTTCCTTCAAACAAGAACGTATGCTATTTAAAAAGGTTGGTATTCTTAAATGTTTCTTTCATTAAAGAAGACAAACAGAAGCAAATTTGGAGTTTTGAGATATTTGAATGTTTGTTTTGACCGCATTTTATCAAAATTTATGTTTATTTGTTTATTTTGCTGTGTGAGCATGTACTTGAATAGAATTCCAAAGAACTTGAATAATTTGTCTTGTCATATTTTTTCGTGAATGATTTCTATATAAATGATGATAGCATATGGGTCATATATTTTTGTGTCAAAAATACATGGAAGCAAATCAAGTTTGTAATAGTATTATTATATTACTCTTTAAATGAGATGATTTAATTCAGTCTGAAATTAAACTAAATTAAATGAAATATTTATATTATAAATATGAAAGTTTAATGCCTTGGCAAAGTTGGAATCCATATTGTTTCGGATTAAATATTTCAGATGAAAGGTTATGTTCGACTATGTGACAAGAGTTGCAATAATTCCTAATCTACACTTAACCAAGACGATATGTTTTCTGAAAAGGTTGGTATTTTAGATGAATTTTTTAGAAATGCACAAAAGTACATAATTACTATGCATTTAAAAAAGAAAAAAATGTTTAGTTTGTCATATCAAAATATTGATGTCATTGCGGTGCAAATCGGAATGTCTCTTCTATTAAAAAAATAGAATACTTAAAATAGTATATTTCTAGTCAAAACTAAGAAGTAACATTGAAATAATATGGAAAAAAAATTTACTATCATCTTTATTGTTTCTTATTTCAGATGGAAGTTTGCGCACGTGTGTGTGAGGAAGGCTGCAATGAATTTTAATCTATTGTTTAAACAACAGTGCTTTTATAATTTGAAAAAAAGGTTAGTATTTCTGCATAATTTTCATAAAAGAGGAACAGACACTCATAATTACTAATAACAAAATATTTACAACACTGTCATTGTTTTACTTTATAATATATTATGACAAATTATTTCATTTAATAATTCATTTCTGTTAAGGGATCTATGAGGGCATTTGTGCTTGACTTGTTCCAGCGATGTAGTAAACTGACAAACTGTTTTGACTAAAGTAGTAATCTGTTTCTGATTTCAGATGGAGGAATGCCCTATTTGCAAAAAAAGTTTAGAGGACGGCACAGCTCGCGTGCGCCTCAGTGAAAAGGGGGTCATTGGTATTCAAGCTGCCAGTGCATATTCACCAACAGTAATTGAAGTTCAACCTGGAAATTATGTTCATGTCAAGTGTAGGAAGGATCTCACTCGACCTCAAAAGAAACTGACTGAAAATAACGAACAAGACCCTAAAAGAATTTTGCGTACACATACAAATAATTTTGATTTTAAGTCTCGTTGTCTGTTTTGTGCAAATTATGCAAAGTTTTCTTCAAAGACAAGAAAACGCTCTCATGATATTTTTCCAGTAAGAACACTTGATTTTCAAAATAAAATTATGGATATATGTCAAAGTAGAAATGATCTTTGGGCAATTGAAATTCATTCAAGGTTGAACCAAGTACTTGACATACCAGCCGCAGAAGCCATATACCACCAAACTTGTAGTGTTAATTTTAGAACTGGTAAAGGCATTCCCAAAACACTAAGTGAACCAAATACAGGCACAAACTCTATAAAACCTCCTGGAAGACCAACAAATGATGACCAGGCAGAAGCCTTTAAAGCGGTTGTTGAATATATTGAAAATAATGAAAACTAGAGGATGCTTTTGTAAAAAAGCGCATGTCTCCCCCACTGCTGAGAATAACTGTGAGTGGAAACAGGAATGGAAATGGAGATAAGATAATGTAAATACCCGGTAGTCACTTCAATGAAGGCTGTCTATGGATGGTTTCTATTGTTAAGGTTGTATGAGAAGATGCTTCCTAAACTGTTTGTTTTTAACCAGGTATTCAATTTTGAAAATCCTGGTTATTCAATCAGCGTATGGCAGGCGGGCGTCAAACGAAATTGCACTTGATGGTCATATCATATATAGTTTCACAAATGAAATTAAATGAAATTGTGTCTGCTCCATAATTCTTCAAACCTTTAAAGGATTTTGATGATACTTGAAACAAACGTTCATATTGTCAGATTTTTTTACACTATTGAAAGACAACTCAAATTACAATGTATGTAAAATCATGATAACTGTAGTGTGTTGGGATGACTCCACTCGTTTTCACAATGAAGCCTCTCTGGTAGATACTTGAAACAAAAATTCACCACATCCAGAGAACGTGTAGAGTACATGTTTCGTATGGCTGGTTCCAAGGTCAAGGTCTACTTGACACTTGAATGTCATATCATATATAGTTTCACAAACGAAATTAAAGGAAATTGTGTCTGCTCCATAACTCTTCAACCCTTTGAAGGATTTTGATGATACTTGAAACAAACGTTCATATTGTCAGATTTTTTACACTATTGAAAGACAACTCAAATTTCAATGTATGTCAAATCATGATAACTGTAGTGTGTTGGGATGACTCCACTCGTTTGACCTACTGACCCCAAAAACAATAGGGATCATCAGCTCTATAAGACCAATCATCCTATGAAGTTTGAGGGCTGTAGGTCAAAAGGAACTCTAGTTATCATCCGGAAACGAGAAATTGACCAACGGTCACTGTGACCTTGACCTTTGAACTACTGACCCCAAAAACAATAGGGATCATCTGCTCAATAAGACCATTCATCCTATGAAGTTTGAGAGCTGTAGGTCAAAAGGAACTGTAGTTATCGTCCGGAAACGAAGAATGGACGGACGGACTGACAGACTGACGGACGGACGGACTGACGGACGGACAGGGCAAAAACAATATGTCTCCCCCCAGTTTGAGGGTTGTAGGTCAAAAGGAACTCTAGTTATCATCCGGAAATGAGAAATTGACCAACGGTCACTGTGACCTTGACCTTTGACCTACTGACCCCAAAAACAATAGGGATCATCTGCTCTATAAGACCAATCATCCTATGAAGTTTGAGGGCTGTAGGTCAAAAGGAACTCTAGTTATCATCCGGAAACGAGAAATTGACCAACGGTCACTGTGACCTTGACCTTTGAACTACTGACCCCAAAAACAATAGGGATCATCTGCTCAATAAGACCAATCATCCTATGAAGTTTGAGGTCTGTAGGTCTAAAGGAAATGTAGTTATCATCCGGAAACGAGAAATTGACCAACGGTCAGTGTGACCTTGACCTTTGACCTACTGAACCCAAAAACAATAGGGATCATCAGCTCTATAAGACCAATCATCCTATGAAGTTTGAGGGCTGTAGGTCAAAAGGAACTCTAGTTATCATCCGGAAACGAGAAATTGACCAACGGTCACTGTGACCTTGACCTTTGAACTACTGACCCCAAAAACAATAGGGATCATCTGCTCAATAAGACCATTCATCCTATGAAGTTTGAGAGCTGTAGGTCAAAAGGAACTCTAGTTATCGTCCGGAAACGAAGAATGGACGGACGGACTGACGGACGCACGGACTGACGGACGGACGGACAGGGCAAAAACAATATGTCTCCCCCGAGGTGGGGGAGACATAATGAAAGTCTGACAATTAGTGACTTAGTTAAGAAAATGTTTGAAATTTGTGGAGAAAAATGTTATTCTGCCAAACATATGAAACGGAAAATAGTAGAACACTTTGGAGAGTCAGTAATTGTGAGCAGTATCGATGGAAAGAATGACATTGTTGCATTGAGAGAAAGTGTTTATTCCATTGTCCATACATTTTACAAAACTTCAGTTGAACTATCTGATGAGGAAAAGAAAAGGGAAATTATTGAGACTGCTGCAAAACTTATTAAGGCCGACATCAAAAGTATAGCCAGCGTCAAAGACAAGTATCCTTCTTTTACTGACATCTCATCAAAGGAGGAAAACCTAAATGTTTTACCAGACAGTCTTAAAGGGTTCCTTGGAAAATTATTTTCTGACAAAAATCATATTAAAACTGCAGCAATAGGACAAAGCTTGATGCAGTCATGCCGACCAAAAGGCTTGTTACCACCTCTTCAACTTGGTCTAGGTGTCCAACTCCATCATCATTTTGGATCCCGTTTTCTTATAGACACTTTAAACAGCCTTGGATTTTGTTGCTCCTATTATGAAGTGCAGAAATACGAGACAAACGCGGCTGCTGTTCTGTCAACCGATATTCCATGCCAAGAAAGCAGTTCTCCTTTCTTGCAGTTTGCTGCTGATAATGTGGACCATAATTTAGGAACAATAGATGGTCATAACACGTTCCATGGAATGGGCATAATAAACAGAAATATCATATGAACGGATATAATGAAAAACAGTTTGTTTAACAAAAACTAATGAACTGACACTAATGAAAAACAAAATGAAAATTTGCTTGTACTGAATGTATGTTTTTTGTATTATGTCTATTGTATTAATGCTAAATTATAGCAGTCATGTAAATTACATTGCGTTGATTACATGCAACAACAGTATATACGTTAGCTATCGGAAACATTTGAACATGTACTGTTTGTGTGATTTCTATGCTTATCTATTGAAGTATTGGTTTAGTATACTTGCTGTCCTTATAGTTGTTATCTTACCGACAAATTTGTCATTATTTGAGCAAATCTCATTTTCAATAGAAAGTGGGTGGGGTAATTATTTAGTATCATATTTGTAAAAAACTAGTGACTATGCAATGTTCACATACAACAATGTGCTAAGATATAATTCTTTTGCGTTTTAGTTGTTTTTGTTGAAAATATATTACATAAAACTCTGTTTATATATGCAATAAAAGATTTTTACATAGCAAAGTCATTGACTTATTATTGAAGATAATTTTAAAGTACAAAATTACATCCTGTAATTGAAGGGTCATTATTGAAAAACGGCATGAGCAACAAAGGAGGACTTTTTGCTTATGATTGTACACATATTACTGTACAAAAAAACATCAAGATAAATTCTGTTGCAATTATGTCTAGGTTGGTTCCATATTTTTGTCTCGTTGATTAGCCTAATATGCCCCTTTTGATCAAGATGATTCTGGTAATTATGAACATGCTGGTGTTCAGTCTATTCAGACACATAGTCGTGATTTCCTTTCTAAAGGGTTTTCTCAGGCTCTTTTTGATGATGGTTCGACTAAAAGTGACCAAAATAACAATTTTTTATCTTCGGATGAAATTGATTGGGCTATGCCAAAATTAAATGTTCCTTTAAAAGGCAAAGCTGTTTCTACTAAGTTGGCTGAGCTGATAAATACTTCTTGTACAGCTCTTTGCGATACAGATCCCCTTACAAATGAGTATAAGGTGCCTGAGAACTGCGAAATGGCTAGCCCACATTTAGTCAATCAAGAAATCTGGAAAATTTTGGACAAAAAATCTCATTTGAATGATAAGATGTTAGTTAACATTCAAAATTTAGTAGCTACCGGTTTTGGCACGGTAATTAAATTAGCAGAGTTGATTAAGGGTAATATATCTCCAGACGCTAAGAATGTAATGTGTGACTTGTTCACTGTCCTAGGACAAATACATAGAGGATATTTGTTTGTTTCAGTGTAAGATCGAAAAATATTTCACCGAGTGAACACCAGATGCAATATTTTCCACGAGTGGCGTAGACACGAGTGAAAATATAATAGCTGGGGTTCACAAGTGAAATATTATTTGATCTTACATGTAAAACAAACAAATTTTCTGTTTATTTCATGCTTTTTAACGATTTTTACACCATTTTACAGATTTTTGCCGCGTAACGTCATGCTCTTATCTTCATGACGTCATCAAATAATGACGTCACAATGTTGAAGCAAAATATAATTCCATGATTATTTTTAGATTTTAGATGTTTTTCAGCACAACGTTCGTAAATATTTACGAACTACAGTTATCACGTACATTTTTTATTATGATTGACTACATTTCCGCTGAAAAAAACATTCATTTATGATAAATATTTTATTTTTACGCCAAATATAGTTCGGCTACTGTGAAATTATATTTGGTAATCATTCCTGTGAAATTATCAGAATATAATTAACCGTTATAATTCAGTAATCTACTGCAAAACATGTAATAAAGTATAATCTTTCTCTTCGGAGAAGATATTTTATTCGGCCATTGCTTAAAAAGAAGTATGCTAGTCTTTGTCAAACCTCCATGCCGGTTACAACTAAACTTTTTGGGGATGACATAAGTAAAGAGGTAAAGAATTGTGAGAGTACATTGTCCTTAGGGAATACCTTCAGTCAACAAAGTCCTTTGTATGGATTATATGGGAGCAATTTTAGAGGCAGAGGTCGTTTTCCTAGGAAAAGCTATTCATCTAGGTTCATCTCTAGAACTCAGCCTTACCAGTCAAGAGGTCAGTATAATAGGAATATGCCAAGATCCAGACCTTTTAGGAGATCTGTACCTACTGCAACTGCTACAGCCCCAAACAGTCAGGCTTAAATAAGGTAAGTTCAGTTGGAAAAATAAAATTACATTTAGACCAATGGAAAAAATACACAAATGATCCTTTGATTCTAGGAGTAGTTTCTGGTTATAAAATTGATTTTGTAAAGAAACCTTTTCAGAATAAAATACCTAAAGAAATTCCTTTTGAAGGTGAACAGTGGAAAATTGTTAATGATGAAGTTGAATCTCTTATTAAAAAAGGTGCCGTTTTGCAATCTTCTCACCAGTGTAACGAGTTTATCTCTACTTTATTCATTGTTGCTAAGCCTAATG